TAATTTTATAATTATATTAAATATTAAGTATTTTCTATAAAAGTCATAATCAAAAAGCTATAAAATAAGGTTTTTGATTTTATATATAAATTTAATTTAGATTTGTCGTGACTTTTTGTAGTTTTTTTAAAGAAAAATTTTAAAAAAATTATTAAATATACATATATTTAATTATACTGTGCGACCATATGAAAAAATTTTCTAACTGCAATTCTAAACACGCCCTTAGACTTTTGATAGGAAGTCTTCCAAATTCCCTTGTCTAAACACGAGCCACGGCTAACAGTGAGAGCTTGACTAATCCCAATGAACGACCAGGAATTGGTGAAGTTGCTGGATAGACTCATGGACCCACCATGGGGAGAAGACTTCTAATAAGGAAGTCTTCCAAATTCCATAATCTAAAACACGGTTGATTTACAAGAAAATTAAGGCCTTGTCTGTTGCAGAACGGAATTAAAACGTTTTCTGCATTCTCCATTTTCCTCTACCATTTGGAGAATTTGGAAATGGTAGAAGGTGGATTTTATTGAAATGGAACCCCACACTTTTGTTCAACTTCCAAACCAACACAGATTCAAATCTGCCCAATAACAATTTTATCATTTTGCCAGCTTTAATCGGAATATGAATGGACTTGTATGATGTATTAAATTTTAGCTATTAATTAGTTAGGCTTAATGGGCGGAGCTAAGCGCGGCATGACTGCATGGGGGGGCACAGGCCCCCTAAACTTTTAAGAAATACTACTCCCATCAACTTTATGTTAATTAAGACTCTTTTTAGTATAATTTTTCTTTTAGATTTTGAGTTTTATTTTTTACATATTTAGTGTCCATTATATTTAGAAATCACAATTTATCATAAAATTTTAAATTTATTAAATTTAATTTAAATATATAATAAATCAAAATTAAAAATCAAAATCATACTAAATAGAGCTTAATTTAATGATTTTATATAATAAATAAATAAATTTTTTTTATCAAAATAAATTATTCAATAAATACTATATTTAGAAAAAAAATAATTGTCATATTTTTTTATAGACGATCAAAACAAATTGTTTCAGCTTTTCAAAAGACCTCTTTACTGTTGCCTAATTTGACCTGTTAATTAATCGATTCACCTCTCCTCGAAAATTTTGTTAAGGCCACTGAGGACGTATTGAAAAAGACCAATGTGCTGACGTGATCTGGCTCATATATGTAGAGATGGCAATGGGGTCTCGCGGGGCCGGGGACCTCCTCCCCATCCTCGTCCCCATGATTCACGGAGACGGGGATCCTTGTGAGGATTTTTGATAGGGGGCAGATTTTGCCCCTCATCCCTGTTTCCCACGGGGAATAGGGATCCCCGCAGGGATCCCCATTCCCCGCCAAATATCAAATTCTAATCTATCTTTTATAGAACAAATGACTTTCGGTAGCAACAGAGCAGAAGGGTTCATG